CACAATCGCTCATGGGGTCTCTCACGTTTATCAGTTCTGCTCCATTTGCATATTGTTAATTGTCCAATTACAGCTTTAGCCCACCAAGTCCCATCCTTCTTGATTTTCTCTCTTTATTCCTGAAAAGTAGAAACAAAAGTGAGTTGGGGAGAAGCAAACTGGGGAAATATAACTTCATTACCTGAAGCTGTAATCAGACAATTAACCCTGATATGTGAATGACCAAACTTATATCCATCTGAAAAACTGGTGACCATAGTCCATCTTGGATGTAGCCCCTTCAGGAGGTTTCGTCTGCCCTCAGTGTAGCAGAAGGCCTCTCAGTAAATAAATCTGCTTTTATTCTCTTAATCTTGTCTGGCCTCTGTTTCTAGGAAAGCTCAAAAAAGGCATCAGTAACACAGAGCACAGTGTGACAGTGAGGGAAACGAGCATGGTGTGACAGTGACAGTGGCAGTGACAGTGAGGGAACCGGGGGGCCACAGCTGCAGCACAGAGCACGGTGTGACAGTGACAGTGAGGGAACCGGGGGGCCACAGCTGTAACACAGAGCACGGTGTGACAGTGGCAATGACAGCGAGGGACCCCGGGGCGGTGGCAGGTGGCAGCTCCGAGGTGACAGCCAGGCTGCTCTCGGGGGTGATGCTCTGCAGAAGCACTGCCCCAGCCCTGCCGAGCACACAGGAACCACAGGCTCCTGCCAGAGCGTGCTACGGGTCCGTGTCTCAGCATGGGGACAGGCCAGACCACAGAGCAGAGCCCCCCTTAGCACCTCTGAACATAAATAACACCCCAGGCCCCCCTGCAGCAGGCAGCCTTCGCTGTCTCCACCGCAAAACCGGTTTTGTCTTGAGATGTGAGAGCAGCCTGAGAGAAGCCAGCTGCAGAAAACACGTTATAAAGGAATGTAATTATTTTTATTACGGATATTTCTGCCTCTCTTTTTGTTCCACCCAAGTGGTGTCCCCAGGTCTGAGCATTAGGGCTTGCCATGGAATAAGAGGCACTGGAAGAAGTGCCCTTCTCTGTCTCCAGCCAAGACCACTCAGACAATTTGCAAGCTCACCATGACCACCACAGTGAGATTTACTCACAAAAGCACCAGGAGGACAACAGCCATCCTTTCAGTGATGGATCCCTCCTGGTGCCTAATCCTGGACATGTCTAAAAGTTGCAAAGCCTCAGTTTGGGCTGCTCGTTTGAGTTTCTCTAAACTCAAACTCTCTTGAGTTTCTGCTAGGAATTCTCCTGTTTCCTCTTTTGGCTAGGGCAGAAATATGAGGATCTATTTTTCCATGCTACAACTTTATTTCCAAAACACCCTTGCAAGAAGAGCACGTGGCTCTCTGTGTGTGCTCTGTGTGAAAGGACTGTTTCTAATTTTAGCCTTGAAAGTTACTAGGAACTGTGATTTTTTTTTTTTTTTTTTTTTTTTTTTTTCTCCCTGCGGGGTGAATCGTGTTTTTTTTTTTTTTTTTTTTTTTTTTTTTTACCTGCAGTGTGTACACACACGTGCTTGATTTCTTTTTTGAAACCTTGAACTATTCAGGGTTTTTTTAAAAATTAAATAAAGGGTTTTGAGTCCAGAAGCTGTTAGAATTTAGGCACCAACTGCCATCACTTTGAGGAGAATTTCTAGAGAAGCTTCCACTGCGAGCATTAGAAAGTTTGAGAGTGAGGGTAACAGAGAAATGTACAACAATGTTACAGAGTTTCTTCTATAATCTTATTTCTCAGAAATCACTAGCATTTGTGCAAAATGTCATATCTGCATTGGGCCTTTAAATGTCACTCACCCACAAGCTTGCTGCCACTTGTCTCTGAGCAGAGCTAATTGTACACACAAGGGGAAACCACAAGCAGTAAACTGACCATTGTGACTTCTTAGAAGACTTGCCCTGAGCTGTAAGGCAATAATGTGTGGGGAAAGAGACCCCACAAACCAAGTGGGGTGGCTTTTATCTGTCCTACCAGAGCAGAGTGATAAAATTCCATCATCTGAGGATGAAATAATTATTCCCGTTGGTAAAGCATCACTTGTACAACAGCCCCAGAATAAGCTTTTACAACTTGTGTGGTTCTGCTAAGAGCAGGTGGACCAAATGTCTCAGGGTGTCATGAACTGCATAGAGGGATGAACTTAAAGGCTTTCCTAGAGAGTTACTAATAACTAATTACTGATACTAATTCAGGAAGAAGGAATGAGAGATCATCTTCCACTTGGCATGTGCAGTGTTTAGACATTATTCCCATTACAGACAGAAAGCACAGGAGTGGAGCAGAGCATTTCTAATATCTCAGCTGGAAAGCTCTGGGGCCATGGATGTGTTCTCCACGGAGAGTTTCAGACACATGCCAGTCAGCTGGTGCAGTCAAATACCAGTCAAAAGCAAAATAATGGTTCTTGTGAAGTAGTTACACAGGAATTAGCACCATCCAGGGAGTTCAACCAGCCCTGCCAGCAGTTAATTGCACAGAGTGGAGTCACCTCCCACCCACAATTGGACAGACAATCTACTTGTACCACAGACAACACTGTAAAATTTTAGTGTTAGGACAAAATGGTTTATTTCCTTTAGTCAGTATTTAGGTTGATTGCTTTATTTCCATTTCTTAAATGAAAAAAAAGTGAGATTCTTGTAGACAAGGCAGAGTGCTCTGGCTGTATGAGAGAGTAATGTATGATAAGTAATGTATTGATTTTCTAAAAAGTAGGTTAAAACCTGTTGAGACTCCAAATGAAATTGGAAAGATTTCTTGCATGTTGCACAAAGCCAGTAACCAGTCACTCCTGAAAGAATTGAAATAGTTTTAAAAACCATGCAAAACAACATAAATACTGTTAAATTTATACAATTAGTAGAAGAACTCATTAGCTAGTGCAGAAGCATATTAACCAAATATGTCAGATTAAAGAAATAGCACCAATGAAGCATTTTCAGCACCTCAAAGCTGTGAGAAAAGCAAATCTGTGAACCAGAAAAAAACCCTGCATGTTTTCAAGTTGACTGTAAGCTGACTGCTAATATAATGCAAGTTGAGGGTTACAAAGGATTCAAAAAGAAACTAAATTATTTGGGAAACAACTGCTTACAAAAGCTTGCATACCATGAGTGGAAACAGGTTTTTACTAACACAGGGACCTTGAGAAATCAGCAGTCAGTAGCTTGTCCTCAGCAGAGCCAGGAGTGATGGATGTTTTGGTCAGATCCTCTGAATTCTGTAACAGGATGCCTCCTGTGTGAGTTCTGGGATGGAAAAGGAGTCACCAGCAAGAGCCAGGTGGGAGAAACTGGCTCCAGACCACAAACCCAGCATGGGCTTCAGACATGGATCGTGCAGCACTCACAGCTGCTGGGAGCACACAAACACTGGATTGCAGGAGCCACTGGAGACATTCCAGCGTCCTGCAATATGTCACAAGCCACCAGAGCAGAACCTGCTTCTGTCCTGTCTCCTGCAAAACATTTTGTGGCTCAGCTGGGCTTATCAGGCTCCTTGGCACCTGAGTTCAGGCACGTCCTTGTCACACACACCTGCGTCAAGGGGTTTAAATGCTTTTTCCAGCTTAATTTCCCTGGGTCTACCAGCTCCATTAGCACTAATCCACACGTGCTGGCTGATTTCTTCAGTTCTGCAAATAACCAAAAGTATTCTTGATGTATTCCCCTCCCCAGGCACTCAGCCCAGGTCACTCCCTGCAGACCCCTGAGTCATTTCAGACACCCTTTGTACCTTGCCCGTTGGGATTTCTCTGCTTCTGACCTGCTGTCCTTGCTCAGCTGCCTTGGCTTGCCCCATCCCACAGACTGTGACACTGGAGCTGCAGCCCTGCTTCCCACCTGGGCCTGCTTTGCTCCCAGCTGCAATTCCTGTCTTTTATCCCATGGATGGGGCTGGGGCATCACCAATACCCTGATACTGTTCCCACTGCTGCAGGTCCCATCCCAGCCTCAGAACTGCATTTCCCACCTCTCCCTGAAAACCATTTCCTTCTCCAGAGGCTGAGACAAGACAGAAAAAGATTCAAAGGCAAAAGAATTAGCCCAGAGCAATTCTGTCTGCAACTCTGGGGGTGAAAATTTCAGTTTTTCTGCTTTCCAGTGTAGATCTGAGACAACTCTGCATCTTCAGAATGCTCCAGCCTTCTCTATTTAAAATAAAATTAATTTTATTAAATCCCCAATTATTCCCTGACACTCTGGAGCTAAATTCCCTAGCAGTTCATTCACCACTTCTTGAGTTAATAGTGCAGACCTTGAAATGGCTCAGTGTGTGTAATTTTCCTCAGAAAGGTGTTACTTCTCTTTTTTTATTTTAATTAGTTTACACCAAACCAAAAACCACCTCCACTACTGTTTCTTTTCACAGCTTTTTTTTTTTTTTCTTCACTATTGTGGTCATGTTTGCACAGCAGTGTTTCTACAGAAAGCTGATCTCAAATGTCACTCTGCTCATTGTAAACCTCCCTGTGCTGGCTCTCAGGGATTTTGCCCCTTTTTGACTAAACCTGCACCTTGTTCCAAAAACGAAAATGTGATGAAAGGTGATTGACTATGGGCACCTCAGTTCCTAGGTTGGTACCGGATTTGTTGGTTCTTCCTCAGCTCTTCACCCACCCCTGAGCTGGGCTTTTCCAGGGACAAAGCCAGAATTGGTCCCAGCACCAAGTCTAGCAGAATTCAAGAAAAATTTGGGCAATGAGACATGGAATACACAGGGTCTGAAGGGTTCTTTTCTGTTTTCTTCAGTGATCGGTTAAAAAAACCCAAAACCCTCACTTGCAGATTTTGTAATAAAGTGGAAAACAGTTATAATGCTGTCTAGTGGGATGCTGTTAGGGGCAGTTTATACAGAATTTTCAAAAAAGCCTTGAATCACTATTTAAAAAAAAAAAACAACCAAAACACAACAAACTACTAAAAGAAACACTCATTTATTTGCAAGATATTTGAAACAGCTTTTAATATATGTATGAAAATATCGAGAAACTGTACAAAACCCAACACAAACACAATTTATCTAGGTCTGGCCATGTGAAGACAGCACCTATTTGCTCACGAGGTGAACCTGCACCACCCACCCCTCACAGTGAGGGGGTTTCTCCCTCAGGTCTGGTGCACAGCATTTCATGAGCAATAACATCTGGAGGGAAATGGGCCCTCCTGAGGGGCAGGATTGTCTTAGCAAGCTGGGATCTTGTCAGAGCTCAGCCCTGGAGAGGAATTATCCTTTGTGCCTGTCTCTGCTCCAGCTATGCACTCATCAAAGACAAACCGACCCTAATCCCTCAAAAAAAAATAAACAATCACATCAATAGGGAGAAACTCCAGTCTCAGCCTGACCTCAGCAACAGGAGGCCACCCCCAGCAGCCCTGCCCTGTACCAAGGCAATTCAGCATTCCTTTGTGAAAGATTTTTGACTTTTCACAGTGGCCCCAACCCTGCAAAACCAAAACAGCCCTGGAGGAGGCTGAGCCCTTCCTCGGCCCAGCTCCCCACAGGCACCTGTTCTAGAAGCTGTTACCAACCCAAATTTAGCCTCTTCTTGCCTGAGGTGAGTTTTGATAAATCCCTTTGATAAGAAGGGGCTTTAGATCACGCCCAGGTTGGAATGAAAAATTATAATAATTCAGAGGGAGGGGGTTTACATTTTCCATTTCAAGGGAGACCCCTGCCTTCCTTAGCAGACACCTGTCTGTTCAAACCAAGACACCCAGAAGCCACCAGGACCCACATTTAGTCACTTTGCTCACCAGCCACATCAAGACCCCCATCAGTCCATGTGAGTGGCTCTGACAGAGGCAGTCAACTAAAATCTAGACTTGATTGTGTTTCTGTGGGACCGTCAGGACCTTGGAGCAGGTGAGCCCACATGGATCCAGCATTTCACCCTGCCACATTTCTGAAAACTTCAAAATAGATTTCCCTGCTGTAACTCTTGAGTAATTTTAACTGTCTGAGCTCTTGGGCAAGGATCCATGAGGGAACTGGAATACATGGCAAAATATTGAACAGACCCGTGTGCTCCCCCTGAGGCTTAGCAAAGCTCAGAATCAGACCTTCCCATCCATCCCACCTTCCCAGAAAGAATGGATTATTTAAGAAAGAAACAAGCCCATATGTCACATTTAGCCCTGAAATGCTGCTTTTCCACACTGAATTGCATACACGTGTCCAGGGTACCCGCATTTTGCTAAATTTTCTGTACATTGCAAAAGAAAAAAAAAAAAAAACTATTAAAAAAAAACAGAAACAGCCTTGGATATGAGGTTTTTCCTTCCACTGAGGAAGGAAGGTGATAGCAATTTCATAAAGCGGCTCTCAGAGCTGCCGGTGAGGGGATGGTCCCAGCTGGCAGAAGTTTATTCACCTTTGGAATAGGTGTTGCTCCTGACCAGGGTGCTCCGTCTGGAGTTGTAGGACATGTCTTCATATACCACATTGGGCTTTTTCTTCTGGAAATATTTCTTCACCTGCCAAACAAAGAAAACAGCCATTCAAATGAGAGCCTGGAAAGACCCCAGCCAAGGAGTCATTTTCCATCTTAGGAATCCATTTACATCATCTGTTGGAAGAGGAAACACTTTCAAAATTCCTCTCACGACCCAGTGAGGTCTTAGAGGACCAAGTGGAAATTATCAGCTTATTTATTTAACTTTCTTTTATGAGTCTGATGCAATTTTATGAAAAGCTCCTTCAAGAGTTGGATGTAACCGTAGCTTTGACATAAATAATAAATGACAATAATAATAAATAAGGCTCAATCTTAGACTGTTACTGGTAACACAGGACACGAGGTCCCCTGGGCTTTGACAGAATGATGTTACACTACTGGTTTTTAGCAATGCTGGAGCCACATTTAGAGGGATGAGACAGGAGCCTGTAAATCATACACTTCATTTTCAGTAATATTTATGCAGCAGAAGGATCTATCAGAGACAATTTCTGGGCACTTTCTGCAGTATATGTATAGAAATAATCCCAGTGAAGGAAAAAAATATAATTTTTTCTTCTGGAAAGGGTCCGTTTTTTTTTTCTCCCAGCATAACTTTCAGACATCAGGCTATTTTAAGAGTTTTTGTTGCCCTTGTGTCCCCCTCCAAGTTACATCTCTTACAAGCTTGCTATGTACAGCTCCAGGCCCAATTCACAAAAAAAAAAAAATTTAAAAAGCAAGGGGAGCAGAACAGTGAGGAGCTTTGTTCAGGGATACACACACAACACATGTCTGTGTCAACCACACAGCTCACTCGAGGTTTGTTATCAAAAGACAATTAATGCCTCATTTACAAAGGGTTACAGAAGTATAAGACACTGTGTTAGCTGACAAGAGTTTACAGCTGGAAGATATTCAACAAGGGCAAATAGGAGAGCAATAGGTGCTTAGGTTTATCAGATGTTTGCTTCACTCAGGCACTATTTCAAAATAATATCAGTTTGTTCCATCAAAGTGCCCCAGTTTTGCTGTGGTGACTGTACTTACATCCACACGGTACAAGGTGCAGCACACCAGGGCACAGAACAGCAGAGCCACCACCACGAGAAGGCCATAAAACTCCCAGGAGCTCTTCTCACATGCCTCTGCATTTAAAAATACAGCAGCAATGTTATAATTACAAAGAGGCAGAATTTTGTCAGATTAAGTTATTTTCTGACCCAGAGGTGGAATAACTGAGAGGTGTTAAACTTCTATCCCATTTTCAGTCTCATGAGAAGGGTGACACAATATAGATGTTTTCATTCACGCCATCGCAATCAGAAGCAAACTATTTCTTAATTACAACACACTATAAAGTGTTTCTATCAGCTTTTGCCACACCATGCTGTAAATGCCTTAAAGCAAATAATCTAAAACTACCTCTCATGGGTCCTACCACAATGCATCTTTCATAGTTCTATTTCTCCAAAGTATCCAGTCTTATTTGCAAGGCCATCCTTTGAAACTTGTTTCTAGCTCCATTTCCCTCTCAACAATGTCTGTCCCATTCCATGGCATTTCTAATTCAGCATTTCTTGTCTCTAGGTTTGCGTACAGATGAAGACTATGTGAGTCTTCTGTCAGGCTTTGAGGATTTTCTACAAATATATTTCTCACAGAATTTTATTTTCATTCTGAAAAAAAAATGATTTTACAGTTTAGCCAAAAATTCAGATATCAACAGCTACAGAGCCACATTTGTCATGCCATTAGCATTCTCACTGGCATTCATTCCCTGTGCTATTCCAGGGGCTGGGGGTGGCTGCAGTGGGTCAGCAAGGAGCACTCCACAAAAGCAGGTTTCACACCACTGATAGGACCACACACTCCTAATGGGAGCAGAAAATTATTTCCTGCAGTGTTGCTGCAACCCTGAGGGCTCTGAATTATCCAAGAGCCAGGCTGGTGAGAGGTACAGACAGAAGCAGGAGTTTGCTGTGGTATGAAATGCTCTGAGCAGAATAATGCTGGTGGAAAGGGTTTCAGCTCTCTAAAACCTCAATTAATCCATCTATGAATAACACACTAATTAATAGTCACACCCCTGCTTTGTTGGGCTACTGTCATTTCCCCCACCTCACTTTACTGAGTTGTTGCCCCAGCTGTGGGTGGTGGCACAGAACAGGACCACAGGTGCCTTTGCAGATGTCAGGAAAATCCTTTGCCACCCTTAGGGCCTTTGCAAACCTTATTTTACAAAGGCCTCTGCAAGCCCAGTGCACAGGGTTAAATTGCACCAGTAAGACCAAAATCAAGCACTCTCTTACTGGTTCTGACTTCAGTTTAGCAAACGGGTACCTCAGCATCCTGCAGAAAAATTAAAAGCGCATCTTTGGAACACAGAAAAATGGAACCCCCTCTTTGCAGCACATGCTCACAGAGTGCTCACTGTGTAACAAGGGTATGCGAGAACATCTCTGCTGTGGTCTCTGGTGCTCGAAGCAAATGCCTGAGGACTTTTGTTCTCCCCAGTGTGATCTATTTTTAAACACAAGACTTTATAGAGGGAATGTTTTCTAAAAGCCATTTATGTCATGCTAAGGGCAAAGAATTGGTGCTGAAAGTACTTATTCATACCTTAAAAGTGACAGATTGCACACAGTGAAGTGTTTGTTACCTTGTTTTCTCCTTTTTTTTTTCTTTTTCTAAGCTGCAGGATCATGGCAAGGTCTGAATTCTCCTCTAGCTGTACAAGGCAGGTGGAAACACAGAGTCTGAGCTCAACAGGGCAAAAAGGAGCCTGAGCTCACTCTCCAAACTTTCCTAGGTTTGCCTGTCCTGACTGAAGTTCCAAAAGCTTTCTGTCCATGACACAACAATAGGTATTTATGATTAAACAAGCAAAAGGGTGGTACCTTTAACCAGCACCATGGTGCCAATCGCTGTGAGCAGAGGGGAACCCTTCACCTCCTGGGCACAGACGTAATTATCACTGTCCTTTTCCTGTAGCTTGTGTAGAGTCACCACAGTTCTACTTCCTTCCCTTGAATACTCCAAGCGATTCCCAAAGTCAGGAGAAACCTTTGACATGTTGAGATTTGACACAGACAGAACTTTACGAGGCTGCACGTGAGTCCTGAACAAGAAGAACTCATGTTCAACTGAGCTTTTCAACACACAGGTGATGCTGACAGACTGGCCTTGCTCAGGGTTGGCATGGAGTGGTGACTGCTCCACAGGCCTTCTGGACATAGCTAAAACCAGAGAGATTAGTTGTTATCATATGCTTAACACAGTGCATGTTAACTGGGCAGCAAGGGACAAAGCACAGAGAAAGAAAAAAAAAAAAGTAGATAAAATGAATTTTTAAGCATGCTTTACACAGGCTCTGAGAAGAAGGATATATTTTACTACACCTTGGCTCAGGATCTGAAAGGAGGACTGACCAACAGGTTTAGCTGTTTATAAAAGGTCTGCATCTACCTAAAAAATGATAAATACTGACCTCCTCTAAGGGACTCCAGCCTGATCAGCACGTCCTGGAGCCGTGCATCATTGCCTGCTTTCTCAAGTGAGATGAAGCCACAGAGAGACCTGAGGGCTCTTGGTCTGGATCAAATCACAGAGTGTGTCCCATCAATGTTAAAATGGTCCATGAGAATGGAGTGGTCATTAATGACTCACTGTTCAGCTGGGAAGACATTCCACTGCATTCCTCTGAGGACAGGACTTGTTCCTTTGAACATTATCATTAAAGTGGATAAGGGAGTGAGGACAGAATTGATCAGGTTTGTAAAGCGAAAATTGTAAGCATTTCAAAGAAGAGGATCAGAATCAAACAGAGCTACAAAGCAACTTAATAAAATAATTTGGAGGGACAATACACAATAAACAAGATGTGATGCATTTGAGAAAACGCAGCCAAGAAGTTTGAAAGGAGAAGCCCAAGGGAGGAGGTGATAATCCTTCATGGATATAAATTACTATTGCTGATTAGCAGTCAATTAGATCTCACATGCGTGGGGGACAGGAAAGGAAGAAAGATTTAAGATGTAAGATTTGGGAAAGATGTCTCAGGTTAGAAGGTCTCATTGGAAGGACAGGTACATGGAGGAATAAACTGCCAAAGAACAGTGTGGACTCAACCCTCTTCTAATGAAAAACAATAAATAATAAAGGCAGAAAAATGGTTTCTCCAACCAGAAACACCTGCCAAAAGAAGCACTTCTGCCCATTCGGCAACTCCTCAATAACAAGAGAAAAAACCCTTTACTCAATCTTGCCCAGCTTGCATAAGACCAGCTTCCCAATTATTACCAATTTGTCATTTAAGACAAATTAGTAAAAACAAAAGAGATTTTTAAAAACAACTGCTACCAAAAAAGCCCCTCCTTGTTGCGCTAGATGTTTAAAATGTTTGACAGGTTGTTTTGGAAAGAGCTGTGGGACCTCACTGTTTCCAAACTGCTGCAGCAACCTGTGACTCATGTGAAAATCTATAGCTGGAATTAAGGAGTCACAAATTAATCTTCTAGGATGGTTTGGGGTTTTTTTGGTACCATACTACCTCATGTGTTTTCTTCATTATTTCCGGGAGCAAACCCACACATTCCCTCAAATCTGTGCCTGAGCAGACACGGAAAAGGTTCTGTCAGACTCACCCTCCCATTGTGTCCTCTTCTAATCTTCGATTTAAAACACAGATCTGCATTTACTAATTTGTGACATAAAAGGTAGAATTGCAATACCTTTGACCACTACTATGGTTCTCTTCCTATATATCTCTTTGGGATTGCCATCGATTTCAACCGTCTCACAGCACACGTAGGTTCCGGAATCAGATTCCTGTAACCTGTGCAGGGTTATCCTGAGATTCTCCCCTTCCTTTGACCACTCGGTGCGATTAGCAAAGGCAGGATTGACAGATGGAAGTTTCTCCTTGGGACAATATATCACCTCGAGACTCTGTCTATTAGCTCTCAAGACCATCTCCACTTGACATTGTGAACCATTCATTGGGCAAATTATGTTGATGGAGTCTCCTTCCCAAGCACTGATAACGTCTGTGGACTGTTCATTTCCTCCATCTAAAAATAAGAAATGCAATTGAAATTGTAATATCAGAGTTCCTCTTGGTCTGATCATATCAAAGTATTTTTTAAAGTACTTTTCAAAACCAACTCCTCCACCAACAGAACTGCTCTGTGAGAATGGACCTCAGTCTCCCTGTGCTGGACATGTCATTTCTTGGCTGCTCTGGCACCTGTAGTGCCTTTCATGCCCGGTGACCTGAGCAGCTCAGCACCTTCCCAAACTTCAAAGGCCTTGGCAAAGAAGTGGCTGCTGTCACTCACACAGAAAATTCAGTTCTCCCTGTAGATTCCTAGGAAAATCCTATTAGTTTTCAAAATACAAACTTCACTACGAGTACCCTGATACCTGGTTTTAGTTCTAAATCAGGAATGTAAAAGTAAGAAAAAGAAGCAGAGAATGGAAGAAAATACACTTGTCCTTTTAAAGAGGTTTTTAATAACATCAAGGAACTGGATACTACAGATTCTCAGATTCAATACAAGAACAGGGCTGCAGAAGGTGTAGGTCCAATCTATTTAGGAAACAAAGGCATACAATATGGCATGAAATCCTTGGAGCTCTCCAATGACCCCAATATCCAAAGAAACTGAAGGGGGAGTATTTGTGCAATGAATAGAGAGATCAAATGGGAAACACCTGGAAAAAGCTACATCAGAAGCAAGGCAAGAAAAATTAAATAAGGAGTGTTGCATGTCTAAGGCAAACATAGTTTGGAAAAGGTTGGAAAAAAGGAAAGAAAAGATTGAAATGTAAGAAATGTAAGAGCACCTATGTTGTACGTACCATCCTGGGCAGGGAAGCACGGGAGAAGCAGGAGAAAGAGGGATGCATTTGGGAGAAACAACATCCACAGCATTTTCAAAGGCCTTTTTAGTTGCTCCCTCAGTCTGAACAATGAGTTAAAGCCCTGAGGAAAGAGTCCCAAGCCCCAGGTTGGGCTGCTGTCTGCCAGTTACTTGAGCTGTCAACTGAAAGAAGTCAGCACAGTTTTGCTTTTGCCTTTGTATCACAACGATGGTAATGGGGGGGGAAACCACTTCTCTGGGAGGGGCACCTTGGGTTTCTTCACACTTAAACCACCCCTGTTTTTCTGCTGCTGAGCAACCCCCAGCCCCCAGAGCAGCAGTAGAAAGTTGTCTGTGGGGAGCACCTACCTGTCCTCTGAAGACAACTGAGAAAAGGGCGGCTCAAATTTGCTCTTCATAGTGCCAAAGTCAGGCAGTTGTCTCCCATCCCAGAAATGCAGGGGCTTGCTACCATCAGTTCAGTTTGTCAGGACCCCCACAGGCTTAGATTGGTGGCTGCAGATGCAAAGGTCTTGGCTTTGTAAGGAGAAAGGAGAGGAGAGATGCTCCATTACTTCAGGAAAACCCTCAATTATTATACAAGCCCTTCACACAAACCAGCAGATTTTATCTGCATCATGACAATGTGAATAATTGCCAAGCAGGGGGAGCTGGAGTTCCTTCAGCAAAAACCAGCACTCACCCAGCTTCCTTCCAGGGCAGACCTGACCCACAAACCAGCCCACCTGAGATCACCAGCAGGAGAAAGAGGATTTGACAGGAAAACTGTAGAACCCTAACAAGGTCTTTTGATCTTGTTGCTAAAAGGATCTATTCGAGGAAACATCATTACCTGAAACTTTCAGGCTTTTCCTTCTTTTTTAACTTCATTGCAAAGCCAAGACAATAAATAATTCCAATCTTTACCAGGACAATAAAGCCTTTTCCACCATAGCAAAGTGAGAATTGAACTTGCAACCCAGACAGCCAATTATATTCTACATCTCTACTTAACAAGTAAAAAGTGCAACAATTTCTAAGAGATTGGCTCTAAGACAGGAGCACTTAAAGAAGACAGTGTGAGCACCACACACGTTTGTGACCAAGGAAGCCTTCATGCCTCTTCCCATCCCCCTGTGCCTGTGGAGCCTTTCCAGCCTCCAGCTCGTTCAGCTCCCCTTCCAGAGCCCTGACCAGGAGAGGAGAAAGTCCCTTGAATCCTGGAGGAAGAGCAGGATCCTGGTTCCTCCATTCTTTAAAATTTAACTAGATGTAATTAGTGCCTAATTACCTGTAACTGGATTTTCACTTTCACTTTCAAAGTGCAGTGTCCCTGAACATTGACACCAGGCAAGCCCGTGCTGATGTGTGGTACAGTGCAGTAGGGAAAACATGGAAAAAGCCAATCACACTCCCAAAAACTCCCCAGTAACCTGCTCAGTATTACCTGGGCAGTCACCATGTCCCTCTGGGTACTGCAGCAGGGATGTGAGTGACTGGATGTGAGCTCTGCTCCCCAGCCTGGCACTACCTGGCCATGCAAAGGCTCCCAGGTCTGTTGTAAGTTCAGGGCCTGTAAGCACAGGGTACAGAGAGGGTAAAATCTGCTGCTTTCTTCACTCCTTTTAGGTGGGGTTTTTTGGGGTGGCATGGGGCAAATCAAACTATCAAAGCAGGTTTTAACTCTCAGCAAATGCAACACATGGTTACAACAGGGAAGTGATCCTCAGAGTGCTTGACCCTCACCTTTCCCCTCTTCCTTACTACCCCCGATATCTCCACAGATCCAGTAGATCTTTGCCTTGACTTGGCCCCTGTCTTTGGCACACAGAACAACCTTTTTTTTTTTTTTTTTGTCAGCCTGTGCAAGCTGTCCCCCAGGCAGTGACAAGCAGCAGTCCCAGCCCTGGGCTGCCATAAACTGCAGCTGGATCTGTGGGCAGCAATCCTTCCTCCCAGCCCACAGCTCACCCTTTCACCACGCTGCCCTCTTCCACCCTGGCTCTCAGCACAGTCTTTTTAGCAGGGATTTCACAGGGAGCCTCTGTTCCAAACAAACCTGCTCCAGTCTCACTCAGCTGGGGCTTCTGCAGATTCACAGGGACTGAAAGCAGCCCGTGGGAGCAGACATCTCACTGCTGCTGCTGGCTGGGCTGGGTGCTGAGCTCACCCTTCCCTGCCATTTGAAACAGCCTGGGATTCCTCCTGGAAAATCACCTTGCTGTTAGAAAACATATCTACAGGGCAGGCTTCATGTCAGTCAGGTCATAAAGAAACCAAAGCCCAGTGCACAGTGTCATCTCTGAGGGCTTGGCACCAGATATCCTCTGACATGCAGATAAGGGAGAAGATACCAGTGCCACTGTCACAGCAGGCACAGAGAGCTGTGACAGTGACAGGAGTCACACAACCCCAGCCCAAGGTACCTCAGCACACAGCACCCCGTGTAGGAATTACAGCCCTTTGCCCCTGTGAATCCACACCAGCCCTCTTTCCCTGGGGCATCATCTGTTGGTCCTGGTTCTTCACTGCAAGTAGTCTCAAAGAACAGCCAGAAACTGGGGAAGGAAATGCACTGCACCCCCTGTTTGTGAGCTGAATCCCTACTTTTGCAGGACAGGGAGGGAGCCCTGTGCATGCACTATTGCACTCCCATCTCAGAGATCTCCTTGGGGAAACTGGAAGTCCTGTGCTGGCAGAGCTTTCTGCATCTTTGCTGCTCTGAGCAAGAGCAGTCCCTTGGCAAGTGGGAGGAACTCATCAGGAACCCTTGAACTTACTAGACAAGAATCCAAGTATTTCATGGAAACAGTGATGGTTATTTATTAACTCCACATCTTTGCCAAATGGACCACTGAGTAAAAGAGGTGCCCAGCAATTACATGTTCATTTTCTGAAGCATGGAGCAAGTTATGTTGATGGAGTCTCCTTCCCAAGCACTGACAGTTGTTCTCTAGGCTGTTCACTTGCTTCACCTAAAAATAAGAAATGCAATTGAAATTGTAATATCAGAGTTCCTCTTGGTCTGATCATATCAAAGAAGGTTTCAAAACCAATCCACCAAGAGAACTGCTCTGTGAGAATGGACCTCAGTCTCCCTGTGCTGGACGTGTCATTTAATGCCTCTCATGCCCAGTGACCTGAGCAGCTCAGCACATTCCCAAGCTTCAAAGGCCTTGGCAAAGAAGTGGCTGCTGTCACTCACACAGAAAATTTAGTTCTCTCTAGATTCCTAGGATGATCCTCTTGGTTCTCAAAATAAAAGCTGCAGTAAACTCAGCCTGATAACTGGAGCTGGCATCAGATCTAAATCAGGAATGTAAAGGTAAGAAAAAGTGGCAGAGAATAGAAGAAAACACTTTTTTTTTTTTTTAAAGAAGCATTTAATAACATCAAGGAATTGGATAATACAGATTCTCTGAAAGAGGATTGCAGCAGGTGTAAGTCCAGTCTATAGTGAGAAACAAAGGTATACAAATGTGTAATGAGACCCTCAGAGCTCTCCAATGACCCCAATAACCAAAGAAACTGAGCAAGAAGCATTTTTACAACGAACAGCAAGGAACAGAGGGATCAAATCAAATGGGAAACACCTGTTCAAAGTGTTGGAGATCTCTTAAAACATTACCACCAAGAGCATCAGTAAAATCCAGATTTGATATTGAGCATCAGCACGAGACAGTTTGTTGGCAAGGTTCACTCTGCTACTGACTGGATGGTTAAGACACATTGAGGAAAAAAACAAGCAACAAACAAAATCCAGCCAATCAAAGCAGAAATGAACCAAGAACTGTGTGTGTGCTTGTGTTTAGCTGTGTGACAAAAGACCAGTGATTCAACAAGCATTCACATTGCTTTAGGGATTTGCTTCTCCCCTTGTGCTGCCAGTGATTTTTGCTCAACAGTCCTGATAGTAAATTAGATCCAATGCAAAAGCTGAGGATTTATTCAAATCAGGTGGGAATGGGGATTGATTTAAGGATACCAAGTACCCAATGGGATTCTTGAGGGGTTGTACTCATCTCACGCTGTCTAAGCTTGCCTCATGTGTCAGGAGGATTGCTACCAGAGTTCTGCTCAGCCTGGGGGAGAACAAGGTCTCTGTGACCC